ATTTGTGTTGCGCTTGACTCTTCATTTGCTGCTATTTGCTTTTGAGTCTGTATGTTTTTGTAAGTGTGTGTGTGTGTGCGGTGTATCTATCTTTTGCCACACACAATGACAAGTGTGGCGAATTTATTTATTTTATTTTTAGAATTTTTGCAATAAACAAAATTAATTTTTTGCAAAGACGAGCAGACGAATGCGCTAAGGTATTTTATGTTAGCTCGCTTGACTACGATTTTTGCTAGCTTTGTTGCTGCCATTACTCGTATATATACAGCTCGGCGCTGTTTGTGTGTATATTTGTATTTAGTTCTTTTTTAGCGCTTTGAATCAATCGCTGCTGCAATGTGTATTTCTCTGGCTCTTTGGGAATGTGTGTGTGTGTGTGTGCGACCAGCTGTTGGTGTTGCGCTTGTTGTTGTTTTATTTTTTTTTGTATTCCATCTGTTATTGTATTGAACAGCCATTCGTTTGTTGGTCGAATTATTCGTCGTAGTCGTCGTGGTCGCTTGGTCGTTTTTGTGTGCTCAGCAGCACAAACAGCTATTCAGCGCGCCGTTTCGCCGCATTTCGCAGCAATACAACTTTCGGTGGGTCGTTCGGCGGCTCGTTGATTTTTTTGGATTTATTACTCTTTGTGGTCTCAGCCGACGGCTGCGAATTGCAATTCAAGCGAAAGTCAGAACATTTTTTGCAAAAAGAAAAAATCCACCCAAAAAAAAACACAAAAAAAAAATCAGCAGAAAATATTTTCAGAAACCAAAAAAGCTATAAATTGCTGCGGAAATGAAATGAAAAACTAAAACATTTTCTAAAACGATTAGTGAAAAACGAAAAAAGAAAAAAAACGAGTGAAGATTTGCAATTTTTGTTGTCGGTGTTTTGATTTAAAACGTTTCATTTGTTGTTATTGTTGTTTTATGAACCTAGTGCGTTCTGTTGCTCAAATTAATACGCGTATATTTAAATAGTATACGGCGCGCGGTAAGGGGTGTGCCCTACGACCAAAATATATACGAAATGTATTTGTAGAACCTGGCAGCGGCATAGCGATGGACGCGGAGCGGAGGTACGAAAACAACCCTGCGACCCATGGTTCGGTGGGGTTAAGGCAGTAAACGTGAAAATTCAAAACAACAGCGCTACCGGAAAAAAGACAAAAACCCCAAGTGCTACGTCGAGGCAATCAACCAACGAGACCGACAGCCAGCGAGTCAGCTAAACAGACAGCAACAACTACCACAACACAGTGCGCATATACTAAATATATGCAAATACATATATATATATAGATACATATAAACACATATGCATAGCTATCATATGCATATGAATAATCGCACGTCGTTGGCAGCGCTGTTTTCCGCAGAAAATAGATCAAAAAGTTAAAATTGTTTTGCCGGTGCGAAAATTATAATAAAATTAAATAGTAACAATAACAATGTGTCTAGTGTCTGGCGGCGTTGTTGTGTATGTGTTCCAAGCGCTTTATTGGCATGGTAGTAAAAGTGTTGTTCGGTGTACTGTATATTGGTGAAGGAGCTTCAAGGCATGTATGTGTCTTGTGTGCATCTTCTCGTGGCTTTGGCTTTGGCAAGGATGCAGCACAGCAGAATGGCTGCGTTTAACCGCTTAAATGAGTAATTCAAGCTAAATGGCTAATCAAATCTTAAGTATACACAAATATAATTATATGAAAAACTAATAAAAAATTATAATTATATTTTTAGAAAAATAATTTTTAGAAAAATGTAGAAAAAATAACAACAGAAAAATATTTTTAGTTTATATTGAATAATTTTGACTTCAAATATAAAAATGGTTTCTAGCGCTTTTCTGGTCTGGAAGCTGCAACAAAAATAAAATAAATTTACGAAAAAAATTTGGTTTGCTAATGCTTAGTAGGGCACTTAAGAATTTACATAAAATTAAAATTGTGAGAATACGCACTTTGTTTCTTGCTCCAAATAGTTAATAAACCTGTTTTTATATTTAAATTTTTATTTTCTTATTATATATGTATTTTTTATTATTTTTTATCTTCAAACAGCTACAAAAATATTTTTTAATTTCTTTTAACTCCAAACAGCTACAAAAATATTTTTTTTTTTTGTAACTAAATTTTTGTTTCCAAATTTTATATATTTTTATTATTATTTTTTAACTCCAAATGGCTATAAAAATATTTTATATTTACACAAAATTTTTTTTTCTATTTATGTATACTTTTTATTATTTTTTAACTCCAAATGAATAATAAGAATATATTCTAATATTAGATATATTTTTTTACCTCTAAATGTTTAATAAGAATATTTTTTGATGATTATATTTTTATTTTTTGATTAGATATTAATTTTTATTCTTATTTTTTTTTTACCTCCAAATGGTTAATAAGAATACTTTTTTTTGTGATTATATATTTTTTTTTAATTATAAATATTTTTATTATTATAATTTTTTGCCTTCTAAAGGGCAAAAATATTATTTATGTATAACTAAATTTATATTTGCTAATTATGTATTTTTATTACAAATTTTTTATTATTAGACTATGAATGCAGTGTAGGTTTTTCTCTTCTGAGTCGCTAAATGAATATTTTATTAATTTGATACACCTTTTCAGAACAAAACACTGTTTTCGTATGAAAATCGTAATAAATATAAAATCTTGTGATATGGTTTATAACAAAAATTAATATTTTATACTTTTCAACTAAGCTTTAAGCAGCTTTCACTAAAGACAACATGAAATGTGCCCCAAAAATTTGCTTAATAACTTTTTTTAATTTTATTTATAATTTTGTTTTATAAGACAGTTATAAATCTATATACCACCTCCGCTAACTACTTGACACTTAACTTTGAAAACCCAATTTGCTCTACTCACACAAACAAACTGTGCCCATAAATTCCTTTTTATCCTCGTTGCTTAGCACACCTAAATATTCTTTTTGCGCTTTTCTGCTTTATATTTCATTGATTGCTTTATGTACGCATTCGACTGCTTTGTGGCAATTTTTTCGCCTCGTATACATACACAATTTTTTTTTACGCTGTGTTTGTGTGTTAGTGTAAAAGCTGCACAGGAATGCAAGGAGCTCTTGCCGAAGTGTTTACTCTTTTTTCGGTATAAAAGGAACTTAATTTTAAAGTATATGCTTGAGTTTGTGTGTATGCATAAAACATTGCTTTGGATGGGGTGTGGTAGTGCGATTTTGATGCGCTCTCTTTTATTGGGTAAATTTTTTCTAATTTTTCTTCTCGGCAATATTCGCTTTTCGTGCATCTAATCTATGTGAGAAGATAATTTTATATGAAAGTCAAGTGAATGGAAGTGATAAATTGGGGAGTGGTGTTTGTAAGATTTATATTTTTAATTTGGGTTAAAATAAAGTGTACTTTATTTTTCTCTAAACCTGAACTATTGAAAAGTTGCCAGAAGAATTTTTAAACAATCCTTCCAGAGCATTGACTTTCTCACAGATGGTGAATTATAACGTTTACCTGCTAAAGGCTATCTTGATCTTTCTTCACCGCATTTTTTTTTTTACTTTTTTGAATTATTAAATCTTTTGTTGCTGATACGAAGTAAATTACGAATAATTTTCTATTATTTGATTAGACACATGTCTATGTGACATCAATTCATTTATAAATAACAGTACTCAACAAATCTAAAGGAAAAATTTGCGACTGATGTGTTAAGAGCTCTGTGGGGGTATTTGAGTTCAAAAATTCTCCATCACATACAGCTATTTTTGTCATATTAGTAAATGCTGATGATTTGACCCCTACACCCCTTGACTACAACACAAAAAATCCTACGTGTTAGTAAATTTTTACTATTATTTTCGATTTTTGCAAATCAAAATTTGCAAAAAACAGCTTCTAACATCACAGTCGCAAAATGACTGTAAACTAGTGTAATATGTCAAAGAAAAAAATAATTCTGTTCAACTGCTAATTAATTTAAAAAAAATATTTTTTTTCATAAAATAAAAATATATATTAAAAGATCGTATAATTATCGGAAGTCTTTGATTATTAAAAGTTATCAAAAATTTAAATATTAAATAAATTTATAAAAAAAAATTAATTGATATATAAAATATGTAATAATCAATTTTTTAACTTTCTCATTTATTTAAAAAATGTTTCATACCAAAACATTTATTAATTATTTAATTTTTTAAATGCATATTCATAAGAAGTCGAATCGATACAAGAGATTATATTACTACTTTATAACTTTCAAAGAATCAATTTTTTAGCTGAAAAGTTAACCGACGCGTGCTTTTGGGTTAGGTTAGAAACTTCAACTAATACCAAAGGCAGTAAGTCAGAAAAACAGCTGTAGTTTGACAAAGCGCGTTTAACCGACCAGAAAAATACGTTTCGTGGATAGTTTAACTGACTTTCAACAAAAAGGGAAGGAGTTCACACTTGGAATATTGAAAACAATCTTTTCAAAGCCAGAAAAACTCCTGTAGTTGAAACTTAGTCTCAACAAAAAACCTTGAGCCGACCGAAAACGTAACTAGTTTGATTTTAACTTGAGCGTTTTGTAAATAGAATTAAAAAAATTGAACTTACTGCATAGCAAAATTAAAATGAGAATTTCTTACAGGTTGGTTGCAAAGTTTCTGCTCACACCAAAAAATAGCACTGCTAGCTTATGGGCCACAAAGCCCATAAACGACAGCAGAGCTACCAGACAGTCGCACAACTGCATAGCCCACATTTTCTTACAAATTTCTGGAAAAAATTATTACGCTATAGATAATATCGTGCTCTCAACATAATATTCATGTTTTTCGAATTTTTTAACTAAGTAATTTTTTATGCTCTTAAGTACGGTAAACTTTTAAAAAATAGATCAGAAATATTTTTTACATCTACCTTTTCTAATCGCTAGAATTTTTTCTAAAAATTTTTTTTTTCTCTATTTATTGAAAACAAAAGTTATAAATTTACGCTAACATTTCGATTTTTTTCACTTTCAGTTCACATTTGCACATAAAAATATAGCAAATATTTTGGCAAAAAAAAAATATCAAATCAATATCAATTACATCAGAGAAGGCAACGGAATAAATCGAACAACGCAGCCCCGTCTACACTTGTGGTGAGTATGAATATGCGACATCAAGTGCATATATAATATATATATATATATACATATACACATATATTTATATGAGAACAATTACAAACAAGAAGGCGTCTAAGCCGGCGTGAAGCTAAAACCTACACGCCACTTTTTTTGTGTTTACTGTTTAATTAAAAATAAATAAGACTGTCAAAAAGCCGGCAACGACGCATGTGGGCATATATTTACACGCACGTACACATGTACATATGCAGTCGATATGGAAAAAAATTACAATACATAAATCAGTGTGACACTAATGAGGCGAAATACGCAAGACATTCAAATGAGCATACTATATACATATTTACGTACAAACATATATAATTAGATATGTATGCACGTAATTTTTGTATGAATAGGCGTAAATAAGCGCTCGTATAGTCAAAACATATGGCTAAATTAAGGAGTAATTAAAAATAAATGATTTGCGCAAAATTCGCCAAAAATAAATTAAACGCATATGTTTAGACACATATATGCCTAGCTAAAAAAATATTAAATATATAATTGCTCAGTGAAATTATATACTCAGGAAAAGCTTCTGAGCCGTGCGTGCGGTTTTTACATAGCCTAATGCTTCACAAACCAAGTCAAAGTATATGAAAATGCAGATTTCCAAAAAAAAATATAAAATTCCGCCGGAAAAAGCAAATAAAAAAAACGTCGATGAAGCGCCATCTAGCGGGTTTATTTATTTTCTTAAAAATGTTTAAATTTTGTAATAATACTTCTGACACTCAAAAAACCTAAGAAATTTCCTAAAAATGTTTGCATAAAATAATTAACGTAAATTTGACAAAGTACAACAACTTTGTTATATACATAAAATAGTAATTAGTATGTAGTTGTATATAATGAGATTGCAAACAAAATTAAAATTATGCGAAAAGTGTCTGTCAATTTCGTTAATTATACGCAAGAAACTTTGTACTCGTTGAATGACAGCCAAAGCGACCGACGATTGAAACGCTGATGATGCGAAAACCAGGGTTCGGAAGGGTACAGCAGCAACACATAAATTGTAGAACGAAACAATTGGCGCGCGGGGCAGGCCAAAAGCAAACTGAATGAAGAGTGCAAATGCGAATACGTATTGTATCTTGTAGATACATTAAAGCAATCGCAATGCTCTGTGGCTACATATATATATATATATATACATGTGTGTGTGTGTATGTCAGATAAACCCGACAAGTACGAACATTCGGATGTTGTAGCGCAATGATGTTTGCGAAAAAAGAGATATATGCACGACGAAAAAAAATTGCCTTGTATGTGCCATAAATGTATTTGTACATTCTATATATAAATGTACGTGTGTGTGTAAGTGTAAGCGCGTGTGTGTTTGTAATATTTTATTGGTGTAGGTGTGCTAATTTTATGTGCAGATATTGTCTATAAATAAAAGTAGTTAACGAAATTGTAAATAAATGACATGTACATATGTATATAGGGACATTTTTTTCGCTTGGTACTCTGAAAAATTGGCAGCTAGAGGTCTGTAAGAAAGTCTCTCCAAGTATGAGCTCTTAATTGTCATGGGAAGGTGTCCTATAATTTTTCGACTAAGTTAAGCGTTTCGAAATATGCATAGTCAAACATCAATGGAAACAAAAAAAAAAAAAACAAAAAAAAAAAAAAACAAAAAAAAGAGAAATAAACAGACCATTTTTGTAGAGCTGTAAAGTTTCTTCAAGACTATGGGCTTTTTAATTTTAAATTGTTTTTTTTTTTTTTAATTGCGTTATAAATATAATATCAAATTATTGAGTTATAAAATTAAAAAAAAACTAAAAACCAGTTTTGCCTTAAAAATAGTCAAACTTCAACCGTTGCTATCTTTTGAACGTTTAGGTGTACGAAAAACTTGTAATAGACCTTTTTGAAGGGAATTAAATTTTCTACAAAATCCACAAAACGAAATACTTTTTCAAGTAGTTAAAAGCGAGAAATAAATTTTTCTATTTCTATGTGATAATAACAAAAAAATAGAAAACTGTAAAGCTGTTACAATTAAGAGAGACTTTCTTACAGACTTCTAGCTAGCAACAACAAACGTTTTTTTTTTTTACCTACCCTAATATATGGGCTTCAGAGGCTTACCCTGGGGAAGCAAACTTTCAAAAATTTTGAAAATTATTTTTTTAGCCGTCAAACCTAGAGATGATTGTAAGAAACGTTTAAAAATCAAAAAAATTTTGTATAGGTATTTAATATATGTGTATATGCCTTTTGTTAAAAATGTTCAATATTAAAAAAAAAAATTTTTTTAATTTACAAAAAAAAGTTGATTAAAATAAAAATTGAAATATAAATATACAATATATAATGGTTAAACTGAAACTTAATTGAAAATATCTGATATAAATTACTAATTACATTAATATTTAGATAGATCTCTATCTTGCTTATGATCGGTCAGTTTGTATGGCAGCTATATGCTGTACTCGTCCGATCTGAACAATATATACGTCGTTTATAGCGTTGTGCTGGACAATAATACATAACAAATCTCTTGCAGATATCTAGACAAATAAAATAGTACTCCATACAAGAACCTGATTTTAATGGTCATTTGTGTGACAGCTATATGCTATAGCGGTTCGATATGAAAAATATGTGTACAAATTGTAGCATGGCCTTGAACAATAATTTAACATTTATATTATAGGGTCACCGAAATTTTCTTCTATGTGTTACAGCCTGTTCAGGGCATACTTAAGCTATAAATTAATTTTAAATTTCCTTACTCAAGTCGCTATGTCTTGCTAAAAAATATACAAAAATAACTGCAAGCTATTGGGCGATGACATTAAATTACTCTTTCCTCAAAAGCACAAATTCGCAAAAATGAAACGGCTTATTACGAATAATCATATTCGCATTAGGCAATAGCAGACGCGCTAACAGCTGCTGGCAACAGCAGAAAAAAGTAAGAAAAAAAATTTAAAAAAAACATAACTAATTAAGCAAGCGAAATATAAAGAAGCAACAGCACAGATGAAAAAGTGTTTTTGCAAATTTTCTTTTACTTGAAAAAGTTTGCAAATTTCGCTACATACCTTCCCAACACACTGTATATGCCTGCGAAGCGCTGGAGCGGCACTGGAGCGCCGGCTGCCACCAACACAGACACAGCATTGCTATTAACAATAAATGTTGCTGTTGTGTGTGATGATGGCGCGCTTGGCCGCTTACCGCCAATTGTTAACCGTCAGCCGCTTTGACGGCGGCGACGACGCGTTCGCGCGATTCGCAACGCATTCGCGTTCGCACTTCGCCTTTTTGAAGAGTTCATGACTCATTTCATTTTTATGGCGAAAATTATTGTATACGTTCACACATACATGCAGAAAAGCTTTGTCATACACATATATGTATATGTGCGTGTGTGTACCTTTGTATATTTGTGCTGCTGTGCATATTCGCTTATTGCCATTGTTGCGATTTTTGCACTTCTATTTTTGCCAGTTTTGTGACGCTCATTTTTGTTACTGTTGTTGTAATTGGCGCATTCATTAGCGCACACACACACACATGCTTATGAAAAATGTGTAGAAAAGCACTACTTCCATACCAACTGATGAGCCTATGATATATGTATACAATCAATATATTATATATATGTATATGCCTCATACATATATGTGTTTGTGTGTGTATATGTGCTCAAGCATTCATATATATTTTGACTATTTGTCAATTCAGCTTGCAACAGCTCTTTCAAGTCACACACGCGCATACAAACAACTTTAAATATATATTTATATATTGTATATATGTATATTCTAGTCTTTTTGTCTTTTGCAAACGCAAACTCTGTTTCGCCAATATACATACATATCTAATAAATTGTTTGCGCTGTGTTTCTTTCCTAATTATTGCCGTTGTTGTTGCGCTCTTCCATGTTCCCTTCAAGCTCGACTGCTCCTCATTGGCATTGCTGCCTTTCCGTTTCTTCTGTGTGAATCTTCGCTCATTTTTGTTGTTTTTATTATAATTTTTTTTTTTTTGTGTACAATTCTTGAAGTTTTGAAAGCTTCCCAGCAATAATTAATTCGTGCTAAATTTTCGGCTTTTAGCAGTCAGTTTCTTTGTTTATTTTTTTATTTATTTTTTTTTGTACTTTGCTTTAACCTTGAATGTGGCACTATTTCGAGTGTTTGTTGTTAAATTGACATTTGGAAGCACTCGGGTGCTCACGCTAGAATTTCGCTAATTGTTTGTAAGTATATACAGTATATAGTTTTGTATTATTATAGGTGTATATGTAAATCCGTATATAATGCTGGGAATTCCTATGAACTCACACGCTGTAGTTTTTAATATATTTTTGTACAGAATTTATAAATATAAATTGCTTTAATGCATTTTTAAGCAAAAATGTACTTAAGCGTTGGCGCTTTCTTTATTTCGTTGCTTTTTAAGTGTTAAAATTAAAAAAAATATATATAGTAAATTTTAGCACAATTTTAGAATAAAAAATCTTAATAGCTTGGTTTGCTGCTTTTAGACTGTTAAGAAAATAAAAATACTTATTCACTATTTGTTAGACAACAAGTTTGCGTTGCTAAGTGTCAAGAAGGCGTATATTCTTTGAAGCCTCTTGATGCTGGGCAGCCTTACCCTGCCGCTAAAACTCTAAAATTATTTTAGAATAATAAGTCAAGCTTATCATTAGGTATGTTCCCGAATTTCTTTACAGCTAGCGCTGTTTCTAGACTGGCGTTTTTTGTTCAACATCAAAAACCAGCAGCTTCAAAAAGAAAAAAAGATGGACTTGCAAGAAATTTTCAAAGCCTGGCTTACCTAATAATGATATGGGAAATTTGCTTGCAACTTTTGTACGCGGTAGCAACAGCAATTTTGACAATAGTTGCGTTAAATGTGTTGTTTAGTGGACATAACTTGACTACTAAGTCTTAAGTCACCAAAAAAATAACGCGTTTTTTCGTGATTATTTTTTTTGAAGA